TTACAATGGTGTAAATTGGGAGTATTTCTGCTAAAAAGAGTGTGAGCTTCACAGGGGTAAAAGCAGCAGAAGTAAGAAATGAAGACATATGTCTGAAATGTTGCAAAAGATAGCAGTCTTAATACTTCAGCACATAAGCTCTGTGGGTGGAGTGAAGAGAGTTGCCTTTCTTAATGCCAAAGCTTCTACCAGTACTTGGGCAAAACTATGTTGTTCTTCCCAACTCCCCCCCAACCCCAAAAGATAATACAAAATTTGCTGCTTCAGAGAGGTGGCTGGCTACACAGAACAGCAGTCTGCCCTCAGGAAAGCTGTGCAAAGTGGGGAGGAGGTGAATATATTTAGATTAAAATCTCTTTTAAAAGAAGGTGTGGTTTTATGCGCGCTTTTTGGCTATTTTTATTTCAGGGCAGAGAGGAATAAAGGTTCATTAAATCCCAAAATATGTGAAATTCTGTGGTGCCAGTTGAGACCTCGCAAGCCATGCTAACTTCACAGAAAACACGGGTTCAACAGCGCTTCCTGATATTTGTCCTTTGCTGCCGGTGCCCACTGGACCAGAGGAAGGAACACACCACAGCTGTTGGTCCTAAGCGTAGTGCCACTCCTTTATTTGTACTTTTAAAGAACCCTGAGGTGGTAGCTGACAGCGGAGAAGGAGTTTTGAGTTTTCAGTCATCCCTCAGCATCTTTTACTCACGAGTGCATTAAACTGCACAGCTACCTTGAGGTGGATTAATGTCCCTGCTCTGCAAAAGCAAACCTCAAGTCTGGCCATGCTGCATCTGCCACAATCTCACAGGGTGCCACTAGGAGAAAACACTCCTGCTTTCCCAGTGCACAGCCCTGTGCTTTTCAGTCAGATGCTGCTTTTTTTTTTTTTTTTTTTTTTTTCTTGCAGGATTCCACAAATACTTAGGAGAGCAAATAAACTAAAGGCTCATTACCACACATAAATCCTTCAGCCTTCTGGGTTTCCTTCTCTAGAGCCACTGTGAAAATGGACACATCAATACAGCCTTCTGCAGAAAAGCTGACAATCTCAAAATGGTGTCATGCTGCAATAACTGAAATCTCCTGCCAGGTTGGTGATGGTGCTTTCTAATCAACTTTGCAATGAATATTTCTTAAATCATGTTAATCCACCATTTAAGCAGAGATATCAGTTCCAGACAATGAATCACCATACCTGGAGGGGAATATACCTGCCGTTTCCCCAGAGAGGAGGCGATTAACAGCACGCGTGCTGTCAGATGAGCTAGCAGCACTGGCATTTATCACCCCAGAGCTCCTTTCCTGCAATGAAGGAAATCTTCGCTCCCTGCTTCTGGTGCAATCAGCTTTTATTTATGTAGTGGTTGTGGAAAACGACTCTTAAAGGAAAACTGCACCTGTTTTACTCTCTGGGGCAGGTTTTGCTCTAATTTACATGGACGCATTTCCTATTAGAGTTTGCTAAATGTTGAGCTCTCACAAGGAAATGAAAGCCCTGAAATGTGAGTAGACGGGATGCAGTACACAGCTTTTATACCCACAGAACTAAACTAAACACTGATGAAGAAGCTGAACTGTCTTTTTCACGAGCACTTTTATGTTCTCATCTCCCCAGCTCCTAGGGACTAGCCACTATGGGAACTGCTAGCATCCCACCTCAAAGAGACTGCAGTCCAAGTAGACAGTCTTGTTCTGAAGAAATTTCTGAGCCCAGGTGATTTTGTTACTTCAGCTAAGGAAAGAATTGTGCATTAGTAAATTCTTCTATTAATCCCCAAGCTAAACTGCATGAACATTCACTGCAGAGTAACTTTTCTTTTGATGAATAAACTGTGGTAGCTTGAAAAAGAGGGGGTACTTCCTTGGGCTAAGTACCTAACCTGCTGTGTGCATGCAGCCATAACCTGAGCTGGTTTCCCATGTGCTAGCTTGGGTATTGACAGCACTGGGGCCTTAACACGGTGCTTTAAGTGCACTAACCATGCAGGTCTTCAGGTGACCTTTGCAATCACTGTGGACTCCTGCGCTGCCACTGCCGTGTCCCACTGGCATGCGGCCCAGCCAGCCTGAAGCTAGCCTGGATGCTGCCGCATGAGCTGCAGCTCCAGAAACAGTGAAGCAGAGGGATAGTTCCCGGAGAAAGTACCCCAGGAGGTCTTTGAGTTCCACTCCAGCTCACAGCAGGTTGACTTCCAAGTTAGGTGGTGTTGCTTATGGCCTTGTCCAGCTGAATGTCTCCAAGGGTGGAGATGCTCCAGTCTACCTGGGCACCTGTTCCTGGGCTGAAACACCCTGAAGACTTTTTTTTTTTTTTTTTTTTTCTCTACAACCATGTGTAATTTCTCTTGCTGCTGCTTGTGCCTATTGCCTCTGCCTGTATGCTGTGCACCTTCAGGAAGAGTCTGGCTCCACTTTCTCTGTAACTGCCTTTTGGATAGTGGGAGACTCCAATGAGGTCTCTCTTCTTCTTCTGGCTGAGCAGACAAGCTCTCTCTGCCTCTTCTCTCATGCCATGTACTCCAGCCCCCTGACCATCCTGGTGAGTTTCTGCTAGACTTGCTGCATTTTCAGTGCCCAGTTTACACTGGGCAGCCCAGGACTGGACATAGTACTACAGATACAGTCTCGAAAGCGCTGTGCAAAGGGGAAGGATCTGGATGGTTTGCTATATTAAAAGGGTGCGTTGTTGGCTCTTGTTCAGCTTGCTGTCCACCAGGACACCAAGGGCCTTTTATTTTCAAAATCACATTTACAGGCTATAGGAATACACTTAGGATTGCTGCCAGAGAGTGTGACCCTGAGAATGTGCTGTTCCCATTCCTTGAGTTTTGGGCCTAAAGTTATCTCAGTTTGGCCTTCCAAAAAAGAAATAACCTCCTTCCCGTATTTCTGCTAGATGCTCTTTCATTCTTTGGCTTTGGGCTTTAGGATAACAGAGGCCATCCCCTATGTCTCCTAAATATATGGATAACTCTTACTCCTGGAGGAAATGAAATACCCAAGTGAGTGAACTGATGTGGAATTTTAGTAAGAGCCCAGCGTAAATGCTAATAGGCGTTGGCTTAAAAGAATCTGCTTGCTTTTACTGCTGCAGAAAGAATGACACACAGAGCTGATAACCTGTTTTGTGGTGAGTCCTGCCAGTCTGTGCCTGGATCCAGGATTATTGCTGCATTTCCTGTTGATGCGAGGAGGAAAACAGATAGTGTGAAAGTGCGGGACATGCAGACAGTTCCTGCTTTCTTATATGAATAACTGTGACTTAAGCCACAGTTTAGTCACGGGATACTATCAACTGACATAGGTTGATAGACAATTCATTACGGATGGCTGATGGAAGTGTGTGTATATATATTTATATATTTATATATTTATCTCCATAGTGTGGTATCTGTATGAAACTATTACGCCCAAGCCAGACGGCTTGCTTTTGGCCTTGAACTTCACTTCAACTTGGTTATGTTTACTTAAGGCGTGGCAAAATCTGCTCACTAAAGGAGAACGGGGACAGTGCCAGCCTATCTGACAGTCTGTTGGTGTTGGCTGGAGAGTTACACCGGAGGCACTGCAGGTAAAACATCACTTTGCTGTTTTACTTAGTACAGGATGAAGCAGGTAAAATACAAGTAATAGTGCTAGAAAAGCAGCACAGACACATTGAGAGCGACTTGTCTTGGAGAGACAGAATAAATTAGAGTCCCTGTCCTTAATGTTACCTGGAGGGAACGAAAAGATGAATTTGCTGTCCTAGAAAGAGCCTCATAGTAAAACGGTAAGTTGTCAGAAGTAATTGGATCAAGTGGGAGTGGAGATCCTAAGATGAGGAGGACTCTGTAGTTACTGTAGGCTGCTGTTAAATGAGGTAGAAAAAAAGGTATCTAGAGCTGTCCTATGCTATGGATGCAAAGCAAGGAGAAAATTGACTTAATAAATAGCTGGAAGGGAGTATTTCACAGACTGTTTGGAGCAGAAGGTCATGTAAGATGCCACTGGGAAAGTAATCTCCTGGAGGGTCGCTGAAGTGTCTGGCTTTGGTTTTGATTTTCTGAAGTACTCAAGGCTTTCACACATTGTATGTACAAGGAGCTGTTGAACACCTGGGGTTTACGATGCCCAAGTTCACGTCTCTGCTCTGTCTCAGAAGTTTGCAGGCTAGCTGGTGAAAAGCAGCACTCTCTCATTTGTTTTTTTCTCTGAATGCAAGGAGAGCTAATAAACTCACACTTTCCTTCATTATAAGACAATTCTGGAACTGGCTCCCTGAAGTTTTTACAGTGCTCCAAATACATGAATGACAGGGTCTTAGAGGGAAAGAGTGCTTACATTACTGCAGCATATGCTGAATATTATGGGTAAGATAAAGTGTACATTGATAGTTTGGAGTGTTTGAGAGGAAACGGGGGAAGAAAGGCTGCTGGCTTTTTGGCTTCTCTGGTATTCTTTATAGTGTTTGAGAAAATTCACCTGCTCTTCCTGAAGTACAGAAACCCAGCTGAGCCAACATGTAGTGGAAATGTGTTGAGAAAATTGGTGGAGAGGAGAAGGTGGATAGTTCATCTATGAAGTAGACGCATGTTTCTAATTGCCTGTTTCCACTTTCTACTCAGTGAAAAATATCAGGAGCCACTGAAGGAAATTATGCTTGTACTCTGACATAAATCTTTATGCAAAGTGTAATTAGCTGTCAGTATCATTTGCCACCATTGAGCACCTGATTATAACAGTTGCTTGGCATCTTTCATGAATGAGTGCTGGAGGGAGACGAGACACACCCTTTGCCACTGGCTTTTAAGCTTTTTAATGCAGAATATGGTGGATGCTTGGGGTTTCCTGGTTTATTTCTGTGGAGATCACTAACCCTTTTCCTCTGATATCCTCAGAGGCTCCCCTTTCCACCCCACATCTTCCAGCTGTCGCACCTGATACACTTTTCTCCTTCTCTGTAGCTTTTCCAGTGTTCCCCTTCCCTCTCTCACCCTTTGTCATCTGACCCTCCCTCTGAGACTGACAGCAAGAAGAAGGATTGCTCTCTGCTGAGAAGGAAGAGGGACTAAAGAGGAGTAGTAGATGCAAAGTTGAGTGTGATTTCTTTCTCCATTTCAGGTAAGTAAATGTGTTGGAAGAGATCCCAGGACTAAGTAAATGTATGTTTAACCCCTTCTGAATAATAATTTCCTTCCTTAGTTGAGAGTCAGACTCTTGTTTTTCTCCAGTGTTTCACAGTATGTCTGAACCAGCTCTTCTGAGTGTTTGAAATCCCTCTCTCTCTCCCCATGTCACTTGGCAGGGAGCAGTCCAAGGGCAACACCTCGGAGACCCACTGCCTTATAACTTTGTCCTCTTTAAAGTCTTTCTGCCTCGGAGTTCAGTAACAGTAAGAAGCTCTCCAACCAGGCAGGCAGTATTATGCTTTAAAAGCTGTTGTGTTCTTTGCTGTTGCTGATGCATCCATGAGAGCCAAGCAGGAAAGAGCTGTGGCCAGGGTTCAGGATGTGGCTTCAAAAGAGGTGACTGGCAGGGCATGCTGGTGCAGAGAGCACACTGCTAGCGAGGTGTGCATGATCCCATGGCCTGCCTGCGCAGAGGCACAGAGCGCAGGTATCTGTGCATGTATGCCCCCAGACACAATGCTGATGAAGTTATTCCTACAAGGGAAAAGTAGTTAAGTGTATTATTTTCTTCAGTCTGGTTGCTAATTTATTCCGGATATGTTAAACAACACAATTAAACACACACACACACACACACATGCTAAAAACTCTTGTTCTCTGTCAGAAGAGAGGGAACGCATGTCAGACCCAGCCTTCAAGCTCTGTTAGTTTTAATTCGAGTTTGAGAATTAGTAATCAGTTTTGCTAGAACACTGTTGCAAGAAATAGATCTTAGCATGCATAGGGCCTGGGCACAGTTTCAAATGAGTATTTGTTAAGAAGAAGCCATTCCCTTGTCATGTTATGGTACATTACATGAGATTTATTTCCATTGTATTAAAAAATGCAAGCCCAAGGGGAATGTTTCCTCTTCTTGTTGGTTGAGGGTGATTTCTGAATTCCATCTGATTTTTTTTTTTTTTTTTGTGGGGCTTTTAATTAAAACAATGAGATGCAAAAATCCTTATTTTTTCTAAGCTGTTGTTACAAATGCCAGAAGGCCAAATGACTTGAAGCACTGAGAAAGGTGATGACACTAAGTAAATGTGTTGGGGGCAGGGGGCTGTATCACACCTTCAGTGTGGCTGGCCTGTGTTTTTCACATGTGTGAATGATTCAAAATAAAAATCTGAGGCTTTGCTCTTACTGGAGCCATCTGCTCTCTTTGTACCGCACCAGGAATATATCAGATCTACAGATAAGTGTGTTTGGTAGGAAAGAGCCCTTTCATCTACTAAAAATAAAAAATAAATTTTAAAAAAGCGCTATAGCATCCAGTGGCTTGAAAGTGAAACTAAGTGACTTCAGGCTAGAAATTAGCACAGTGAAGTTAATTAACTGTGGGAGGAGCTTGCCCAGGGCTTGTAGTAGATTTTCCAATGCTATTTTATGAGAAGGTACATCTTAAGTGGAAGCCAGAAACTAGGGGCAGGAATTGCTGGATCAAGTGCAGTGGCATCTGTCATGCAAGAAGCCAGAGGAGGTGATTACAGTGATTCTTCTTGCCCTTAAAAGTCTGCTAATACAGGACTTCACATGGGGCTTCTCTTTTCATAAGGAAAGGGACAAAAGTGAAATTGCAGCTCAGGACAGTTAAAATATTGGGTTTGTGTGGGCAAGTGTGAATGAAGGGTGAAAACTAGCATGGACCTTGAGTTACATTTTGATCTAGCAACATGTAATTCTGCATGACAAAAGATCTGGAGGAACCAGGAGTCAAGGCAGGCCACACAACCTTCCTGCTACTTCTCTGAGCTCTGAAATCCACGACAGAGCCTTTTAGCTGAAGGAAGATCCCCAGGAGATGGTGTGCTCGTGTGTGTCTGTACATCCACGCAGCTCTGGAGAGTGTACCTGAAAGCTCCTACTCTGGTTAAACAGAACAAATTGCTCGTAAATCTCTGGTGCCTCTGCCCATCCAAACATGCAAGTTTTTGGCTTTCCTGTGCCCTTCTCCTTCTCATGTCCCAAAAGCCCTCTCACTCTGCTGTCCAGTGTCTTCATGGATGATGCACTGTCTCTCTTTGGAGTAGATCTTTGATGGCAAGAGTCCTGCTGTGCTCTTTGATGACTGTAAAGGGGACAAAGTCCTCAAGGGGATATTTTATCTTCTGCATCATTCCCTAGTTGAGCCAGCAGATGTAGTAGCAGGCCTGTTTCCTTTTTTTTTCTTTTTCCTAACAAAGAGGGGTTTGAACATGCCCCAGCTGAAATATATCTACAAGATGCCATGTGGTGACTGCCCAGTTTAAATATGAATCTACAATTCAGATCTGTTTAAACACTGGCCTCCAAACGAACTACTGAGTCCAAAAATCCTAGACCTTGATGCACGCTCATATGAGCAAGTAGTGCAGGTGGGATCCAAGTCTGGATGTTGCAGCTTGTTCCCATTGCAGCACTGAAGCTTTAGGGAAACTGGTGGAGCATCTGTGTAAACTGGTAGGAAGCCACCCCCTAATCTGTTTGGGGTCTTTGGAGCAGATCCCAAGGAAAGTCAAGTCGCTGCCTTTAGGTCTCACAGGGAGTGACTGCCAAGCTCTCACTTCTAGAAATGAAATAACTCAAAAAATGCCCTGGGCACAGGTGTGATTCATGACCAAAAGAGTCTTGGGTACCTCTGAGCAACCTCCCTGCTCACACCACCTCCCTCCCACCCTGTGTCTGCAGCTCCTGCTCCATCCCCTATGCTCGCTTATGTTACAGATGTACCTCAGTGCTAACACGGTGGCTCACTAACAGCTTTGCTCTCTGTCCTCAGGGAAGACTCAAAATTGAATTTGTAGCAGTGACAGCACTGGTTTAAGATAAACCAGTTGGGATTTGATGACTACTCTTTCCCCAGGCATTTCCAGCTAATAAGGATTTTGTCACTGTGAATGCCCTCAGCTTTGCAAGCTGCTGCTCCACAGTCCTCTTGGGTGTGGGGGGGT